GCTCTAGCGGCGTCTAGAGATTTGGGAGAGATTGATCCTCCTCTCGAATTGAGGATCAATTGTATCTTTGCTATTTTATTCATTATCTAGTGGAATCCAAGTTTCTTCTTGAGTTTTCTCTCAGTTTTCTCGCAATTTCTCGCTGTTTTCCTGTGTTTGGCTGCTGTCCTCTGCTGAAAACAGCAGTTTTCTTCTCGTTCTACTTTAGATTTGGCTAGGAATCTCTAAATTTACTTCAGTAATTTCAAAGAGAAGTTTCTTATTGAATGATATGACATAATATTGAATAAATATAAATCCTCCACAATCTCCACTATTATATCCATCTTCCTCTCTAGCATTAAAAAAAAAATTCTTTTAAATCAAAGAAACTAAACTCAATAATTTTCTTCTCCTCATTCACTGTCAAACAAGATTTGCTTTACTTGTATTCTTCTCCTTCCACGTTGTCAGAGATAAAAAAAATTTAAACTCTAAATTTGATCTCTTCCACCTCCAATGTCTTCCTCTGCTCTCAAAAGAGATATTTTCTCTTTATTAGATTAAATTTACAGAAGAAATTTCACCAAAATATACAAAGATCGATAACATACTTTATTCATTTTTCTTGCTCTCAACCACTTCTCTCGACAGGAACTTTCATTTGTTTGGCTTCACTGGATAAGTGAAATGAAGATATCTCATGTGAGGAGTCACTCTTTTTCACTCCCAAACATGTTCCCTGTCTTAAATCCACGAATCGATCTCGTCAGAAGCCGCACGCACGCACGCAAACTGCGCTCGAGCATGGTTCTATTCCTGCACTCGTCCGCCTATTTCAATGACAGGTCAGTTGAATTGAACCAACCAAGTTCGGTTCTTACAACAAAACAGCAACCAATATTATACACTTTCACCAAATTCTCAATTATTTGATCTTAGCACACACAAGTATAAGGGATCGATATTTCATTTTAAAAATCTAGATGTTACGTTTGTAAACCTGGAAGATTTTGGTGGCATGTACATAAACCTCCTATTTGTTATCATGGATTTCCATCTTGAAGCACAAATATTCTCTTGCTGATTTAATTATTTGCTTTTCTCCTTTATTTTTTCCCATTATCTCTATCTTTTTTCAGTTTACTTAGTAGTCCTCATTGATTTGATATAAAATCAGCGTTACCTATTAATTATTTCCTTTCTTGCATTGTATGCTAAACAAGCTTAGGGGTATATTTTGCATAAAGCATTAGATCGCAATATCATCTTGCGACTATAGGCCAAGCAAAGTACCAGGCCTTTGCCTCAAGCATAGCCCAGTGAAGAAAGAATAATATAATCCTATCTTCCACATGAACGCACTAGCATACTGGAATTAAGCTCCTCATGATGTCATATGTTAATGAAAAAAAGAAAACACGAAAACCATAAATATTGATAATAATTGCTGTGAAAAGAAAAGATAGCGAGTGCTTCAAATGAACATCTACATAACAAGGGACTTGTAGTAGCATTGGAGAATGCAATATTACAATCATCAAGAATTTGGTAATACAATTATACATGTTATTTTTGCTGGTAAGCATCCAGTCAGGAACAGGGCCAGACAGATTATTGCTGGTTAGAAATCTGCAAAGCAAAAAGCAGTTTAATACGAAGAAGAAATTACTTCATAACTCAAGACAAGTGAGTTTTAACTGTTAAGATGGCATACATAAAGTTGGTATGAAGCAAGCTTGATGGAATTATCCCAGATAACATGTTGTAGGTCAAATCCCTGGAATAAAAATGACAAAAGAACATGAAAACATAAGTTCCAACACAGTGATATCTAAAAGAAACGTTTAATAAATTTTTTTAGAAAAATTTCTATCCCATCTATTTCACCATCACTTAGAACAATAGACCCAAGATATCTAAAGCATGTAATCTTTTTAATGACTTGATCACCCAAAGTCACAATCCCACCACTAGATCTATTACTACTAAAATTACACAGCATGTATTCGATTTTAGATCTTCTCAAACAAAAACCTTTAGAATATAAGGTTGACTGCCATAATTTAAGTTTTACTTCAAGTCCTATAGCCTTATCAAAAAGAAGAATATCATTGCAAAAACATACACCATGGTACATCCTCTTGCAAATGTCTAGTGAGAACATCAATGACTAAAGCAAAAAGATATGGGCCTAAAGCTGATCATTGATGTACTCCAACTGAAATAGGAAAATACTTGGTCAAACCACCTTGTGTTTGAACACAAGTAACAGCTCATGCATACATATCCCTAATGACTTGAATATAAGCATGATTAACTCCTTTCTTTTCTAGAACTCTCCATAGCACTTCTCTTAAAACTTTATCATATGCTTTGTCTAAATCAATAAATATCATATGTAGATCCTCCTTATTCTCTGTAAACTTCTCCACCAACCCTCTCAATAAATGAATAGCTTCCATAGTAGACCTACACAGCAAGAATCCAAATTTATTTCAAGAGATATTAGTATCACGATGTAACCTATGCTCCATAACTCTTTCCTATAGTTTTAAAGTATGACGCATTAATTTAATTCCTCTATAATCAGCACAATCATGAGCACCATCTTTACTCATAAAAATAAGAATCAACACACTCATTCTCCACTCATCTAGCATCTTTTTAGTCTTCAAAATAACATAAAAAAGTTTAGTAAACCAAGAATTCATTCATCTCCTAAGCATTTTCACACCTCTATTGGAATATCATTAGGTCCAACACTTTTCCACACTTCATTTTCTTTAAAGCCTTTTTAACTTCGGTTTTACTAATACGTCGAAAAAAAAATATTTTTATTTAGGGTGCTAAGGTTACTAAAGTTAATCATATTCTCACAATCTTCACTTCTCATCTACCTTTGTTGAATATCCTCTTCTAATAAAAATATTTTTTGATATTCCTTAATGCACTTCACTTGAATTAAATCCTCACTACTCATATCTCTTTATTTGGCTAACTTATACATATATCTTTCGTCCTCCTTATTATCTAATCTATTATATAAATTATTAAAAACTAAAATCTTTGCATTGCATATTGCTTTCTTAGACTCCTTAAAGGCCTATTTATATCTTTTCAAACCATTCGAGTTTTTACATCTAAACACATTTTTATAACAAAATTTCTTATTTTTAATCTTTTTTTGCACATTTTGATTCCTCCATCAACTATTTTTACTAATAGGTGTTTTTCTCTTTGATACTATAAGCACATCTTTTGCAACATTATTAATATCAGTAGCTACTTTTTCTCACATGATAATAAATTCCTCATGCACAAACAAAATCTTAAGATCTAAAATCTTCCTCTCAAACATATTTGTGATAATATTTTTAAATGCCTACATCTAATCATAAAGCAATATTTTACTTTATTTTTTATATTATGCCCCTTCATCTTAAGGTTCAAAACTAATAAGCGATGAAGTTTATGGACTATAACAAATAAACCAATAGAAAAAAATAAAAAAATCATATTAAAATATAATTTATGGACTATATTTTGGCTTTTGGGTTATTCATTTTCTGAAAGATAGTTCAAAATCTATATTCAATGAAGTTTGGTTTTGTCCTAACCAAATTTTGGTGGTCTGATTCAGTTCATTTATGGATCGAAATTCAAGTGGATTTGTTTCCATGAGTGAAGAATTGAAAATTATTGTTTTAGTCAATCCAATAAGTCAAATGGACCAAACCAATTGAATGCATATCTTATCATGGTTTACGTAGTTTGTAGCTGAAAACTATGATTGGTGGACCTATAAAGATTAAAGAATAAGTTGGAAGTTAGAATATATGAACTATGAAGGAATATTTTTGGAGAAAGAAAGCTTGAGATTACTAGAATAAAAATTAAGTATGATATACAATTTTTCTGAGTGTTACATGTTAGTTCTATGTGAAATCTGATTGGGTTGATCAATTGGATTATACTGTTAGAACTGACCTCAACTCAGTTTCTCGTACTCGCTTGGGAGCGAGGGGGAGGGGGTCCTCACCTTGCTTGGGTTCAAGTGTACCCGAGCGCCGCTGTGTACCCTAGCGCCTCAGCTCTACAAAAATTTGTTGGGAGAAAAGATTGAGAGCGGAACGTCGCAACGCTGTTAGGCGGACTGAAGAAAAGGCATTAAGCACTGCAATGCTCCAAATTGGCGCCGCAGCGCTACGAGGTAGACTGGACAGTTTGCTTTCTCATTTTTCTCAAGGGTGGCGTCCCTTTGTGGTATGCATAGAGGCTTTTCTCTTTTGTTTAGTGGGTGAGAATTGTGTAAGAGAAAAGAGAAGCAAGAAGAGAGCGAGTGAGAAGATAGATCTGTATTTATTTCTCCCAATTTTCATAGTGAATTTCTTGGTGTGGTGTGGCTCCGTGATTTTTTCTTAATTTCAGATATTCTCACTTAAATCCTAGTGTCATTTACTTTTCGTTGCATTCTATTTTTTCTTGTTTATTTCTTTACGAGATTTACTTTCACATCCTCAACATTGAAGTAAGATTTATGAATCAATGTCACTTAAATGTGCATTGAATAGATTTAGCATCGCTTAACACAAATGAATGTAAAATGGGATTCATAAAATTCACCCCAAATAGTGGGTTTAAGGCTAATGATCAATGATGATGATGAAACAGAGTGTTGAATGAGAATAATGTCCCGGCCAATACTTGATGCGGAAATCCAATGATCCATGCCTATCCGAGGAGGAGCTGAAGATCGACGGTCGTAATCGTCCTATGTTATCTTAAATTTTATTTGTAATTTTTATTTTAATTATGCATTTTCCATTTTTACCCTTAAGGGTTTAATCTTATGTAAGCCCTAAGGGCATAATCGTCTTATTTTAGTTTCTTTTATTTCTGAGGCCTATATATATATATATATATATAGACTTTTGCTAGCGTAATGGTATGATAGAGTTTTAATAAAATTTTGTTCTGCACTTTTGTCCCTTGGGAGGACGTTAGTGAGAATCCCTATAGTGGGAATCGTAGTTTCCACCAGCCACAGGATCAGTCCGGGCTCGTGGCTTGAAGTCCCTTGGTTAAGGGCAACGCATCACCCGTCAATCTTCGGAAGAGTCCGAGACTCGCAGTTTATTTTCTTTCTTTAATCCCTCGCCACCTTCTCCTTTAATCGTCGGCTAAATCTTCCCCTAGTTGTCAGCTTTCTACCTCCCATCCTTTTCCCCACCACCGGCCACCCACCCCCTTTCCTTTTCACCCATCGGCCACCACCATCCCCTTCTTCCAACCTCCGATCACCTCTCCATCTCCACCCTAAAACCCCACCAAATCGCCACCTTCTCCACCAAGCCGCCACATTCCTTGGCCCTCTCGTCCTAGTTTCCTTCTTTCCTTTTGGGATTTATTTTAATTTTGGAGAGCTTTTGAATTTAAATTCAAATGAATTTAAATTTCACATCCTTTCCTAAATTAGTTATCTTATTTTAGGAAAGTATTTCAATCAAACCTATTTCAAATTAAAATAGGATTTGATTTAAATACTTCTTCCTAATTTAAGATTCCCCATTTGGCAAACCTTTAAATCACCTCCAAAGGCCCACTAAATTTTGAATTTCAAAATTCAAACCATCCTTAATTCCTTTCCTAAAATAAGTCTTATCAATTTGGAAAGGAAATCTATTTGAATTTCAAATATTTTCCTAAAATTAACTAAGCTAACTTAGGAAAGTTCTAAAATTAAGTCTAATTTGATCTTAAATTAGATATGATTTAATTACCCTTTTCCTAATTTAGAATCATGATTTAGGAAGTTTAAATTCCCTCCAAAACCCCCTCTTTCCTTAATTAGATTATCATTAATTTGTAAAGTAATTTAAATTCAAATTAATCCAATTTGAATTTCAAAGCCTAATTAATTATTTTAATTTTGGAACTTCCCTCATCCTATTAATTAATCAAATCTGAAATTGATAGATTAATTAATCTCTAACCTAAATACATTGAACCTAGACACCCCTTCCCTCCCCCTCTTTCTCTTGATTGGAGCCAATCTCGCTTTGATGACCTACTTTCCTAAAATATTCTAGATAATTTTAGAAAGAGAATCAATCTGATTTGAATTCAAATTCAAATTTCAAATTCTTTCCAAAAATATCTAGTGTTAAATTAGAAAATCTCTTAAATCAATCCAAATCAATTTCAAATTAAATGGTATTGATTATCTCTCTTTCTAAAATTGAAATTTAATATTAGGAGAGCATTAACTCCACCAATCCACTCCCCAAATTCATGCATGCGGTCCACCCCCCCCCCCCCCCCCCCTTCTCCCTCATATCTCCCTCTCTCCATTAATTCCCCTTCCCCTTTGGAGTTAAATTTAAATTTCAAATTCCAAATCCCTCCTAATTAAAATCTGAAAATTAAATTCATACTTTAAGTGGCTAGCCGCTCCCGTTCTACATCAATACTCACTATAAATAACCGTATGTACATAATATAAAGAACCAAATGTATAAGATAGTAATGTCACAATGATAATAGATAAAAATAGTCAAGGTATTTTCTCTTAAGACAATGAACAAGCACCCAACTAGATAAGATCTTTCATCCGTCTCATTTCTCTCTCTCCTAAACATCTTTCTTTTTCACTTTCAGATTAAAGACAGAAATAAGTCTCCTAAAATTTGTGCTAACAGCCCAATAGTTGCATACAATGTACATAGCTAGCTCACTTTTATGGTTTAAATTGGACGGAAAATCATATATGGATTTGCTAGAAGGGCCGATGAGCGCAACATGACTGGAAAAATTTTCAGAATATAATACAACTATCTATTAAAGCAGTAGCACAAAATTTGAGAGATTAACATCGTATTGCATTATCTAATGCCATAACCTAATGCTTAACTAAATTGTGCTGCAAAGAGTCAACAGTTAAATTGATACTATTCAAATTTTTTTGGGCTAGATACGAAAGAAAAATATTTGCAAAACATCTTTTTCCCAATTCCAAAATACTCAACTTACAAGCGCTTGAGATTCAAAAAGGCTCCGATGAAAGGAGGTATCTCTCCAACTATACCACAGTTCCTTAAGGTTCTGCATCATCATAGTACAGAATAATATTCCCTCAAAAACAAAAAAATATATAAGCTCTACAACAAGAAAAAACTAAAGAAACAAAAAGCTTACAGGTATGTCATCTGTTGCATACCCTCCAGCTGTGGAAAAGTAGAGTTTCCAGTAATATCACTGATTCGCCTGCAAAGAGTAGACAGTAAAAGTATCATTTAAAGTATGCCAAAAGGTTCTATATCTGTGTTATGTCAAGTAAGGTGAAATATATTCACATAATGCATGTATAATAATGTATAAGAGAATCCTTGTTTACAAGTCAATTAAGTTCTTTAAAAGTGGCATTCCAGTAGGAATAGGTCCTTTAAGACCACTTGCTTGAAGATCTCTGCAATCCACAAAGTTTATAGAGGATTGGTTAATTATAATTCATTCTATAATGCTAAAACATGCATTTAATTGAATAAAGAGAGAATGCTAACATTCTTTGAATCTGTGACCAATTTTGAAGGAACTGTGGTATATTTCCTGTGAAGTTGTTACTGGCAATCATACTGCAATACAATTTTCTCCCAATAATTGCCGATCTATCGGAATTAAAATAGTTTACAATCCATATAAAAATTTATTACTTACAAGTATACCAAGTTTGAGAGGTTAGCAAAAGTGGCTGGCAACTCTCCAGTAAATGCATTTGCAGAGAACTGCCTGGAGAATTAGGGAATTAATTGATAAAATCTACACCTGAATATGAATTTGATATGAACTAAATTAAGGGAAGAGGGGTAAATAATATTGAGAAGCCTCACATTTTTTGTAAGTTCTGAAGATAACCCAGCTCCTTTGGAAGAGATCCTGTAAATTGATTTGCTTCTAGTGCCCTGGCCAAATGAGGTTAGAATAATTAGTCATGAACTCGTAGGCTAAGAAGAGTTAAAAGGAGCAAAGAGTATAATTAATATCAAGTTACAGATTTTGAAGTGTTGTTATGTTTCCAATCCATGACGGAATTTGCCCCGAAACACTATTACCAAGAAGTGAACTGCATTATAAATTTCATGATCAATCAACAAAATATCAACCAAGTTCCTGCATATATGAATTCATCTTTAAGTACTAAACTGTTGACCTACAAATTTACTAGAGGAAGAACTGCCCATTCATCAGGTATTGTACCACTCAGGAAGTTGCGGGTGAGATCACTGCACAAAATATGAGTTCCAGTAGGTAAATTTTTAGACAAAGGTTATTTAGACTGTTCCAAGAATAATCCTTTAAAGAGGCATACATTTCTTGGAGAAAAGGAAGTGAGGCCATTTCACTTGGTAGGGTACCCACAAGATTTTGGGACTTGAGTACACTGCAAGTACAAAACGAAATAAATAATCAATAAGCTCTTTTGCAGTTAATATCTTCCATATAACATAGATTTATTTATAAATAAAGGAGAAAAATGAAATCAATTTTGGGAAACAATGAGAGCTTGAATGATAAAGCTTCATTTAGAACATAATACTCAATAAATGTTTTCCTAAGATCCAAAATTATCAATGTTAAAATGATAGGAAACACTTGTATTCCTAATTGATCCCCTCCAAATCAGCCCCCAAATCTTCAATTAGGAAACATCTTCTAATTAATTCCCTTTGATTAAGAACCTTCCTAAACATCTCCCTCTTGATTAGGAAACGTCTTAATTCCCTCACAATCAAATCAACTGATCCATCATAAATATTCACTAAACCTTACTTCACTGAATCCATAAAACTTATGAGACAAGCTTGATTTCTTCTCATGTTCTCACAAATCTATCACAAAGACAAATGGCCATCACTATGACAGAGATAAGGTGACAAGCATATCCATGGGTAGAAGTGGGGATTAAACAACTAAGATGGTTTATGGATTTCTTCTTTCACGAACAAGAACGTTCATTTACTTATCTAAAACTGAAATCACAATGGTCAGAAAGGAAAAGATGCATGCACACTCAGGAAAAGAAGAAATATAACAATCAGTTTACTATAAGCAGTTAATAGTAAAAAATATCCAAACTCACATGCTTGTCACATGGCAGATGCTTCCATTATTAGTGCAATTATTGCACCAGACGCTGTTCTCAAATCCACTAGGAGCATTATGAGTTACCCAGCCAGCTTGCTGACTGCACGGATCCACACTGAAGTTCCAATCTGTTTTCTTCAAAACCGCAGCGATGCGTTTTAGGGTTTCAACTGAGCAAATAAAAGAAAAGGAAACAAGAGCCAGATAAATCACTATCGATCAAAATAAATTATCTTGAAAATATTCTTCCATGGTGAAACTAAAAATAAAACAAAATCAGCAGGAGTTTCAAATAATGCTTCCTGAAAACTACAGAAAACCCTGAAACAAAGATCTAGTTAAAGGAAAATGATTACATATCATCTTTAAAAAAAAAAAAAAAAACTCAGCTTTCCAGATAGAAAATTTTACTAACTACTTGTGGGCATTCTTTCAAGCAATTGATATGCGGGTCTAGTATGATAAGAAGAAACAAATTACAATCTTTCGTAATTGTCGTGTCTGAAAAGCAAATATAGCTCAGCTAAGCGGAAGAAAGCCCTTACTCTCGTCCTGAGGCAGGAGGCTGGACACAGATAATGCCACAGGGATCAACGAAGAGATCATTAAAAGAGAAAAACATAGTTTTTTTGAGCGCATCTCCACCTCAGAATATCTTCAGATGATTTTTCTGAGTCTGGTCTTCTCTCTGAGGCTCTAAGGGAAATCAGGGTAGCCAGCTTATACTTGTCAACCGCCGACGGAAACAAGACAGCGTATTTCCGTGTCGCCGTCATGCAAGTAAGCCGCCATCAAAGACCTTATATCGCGGATGAAACTAACGGCTTTGCTGCTCAGGAGCCACGACCCACAAGTCACTCTTCGCTTATACTCAGTCGATGCAAAAAAAAAAATCCCCTAATGTTTCCAAAAAAAAATTTACCGTACTTATTCTGTAAATTTTCGGCCATCCCTATTCCCTAATTTAAGAAAAACTCTTTTTTACTCGGTTTGTCTTGCCAGCACTCAGCACAATTATATTTATCTTAATCCTATTTAATCACTAATGAAATTTACATTGGTGAGTGAGGATGTGCAGCGCGTCAACCGCATTGGCAATTCGGACGGCGTGCAACCATAAATTAATCAAGAATCAAGAGAAATTGTACTCTGATTCTTCTCTTTTCACATAACAACGTTCTACATCTATGAAGCGAAAATTTAAGCCTTTTTTACGCTTATTTCAAGAATCATTCATAGAAAGTTTTATTGAAATCCCTAACGGAATTTGAAGCAAAATAAATTTAGATAAGTTGCACAAATTTTGGCAAATTTGATCTAAACAGAATGTGGCGGTATATCAGAATCAAAAAAACATTTATATCATTACATTGAAGATCCTTGGAGGCTTGGGAGCGGAACTCTTAGTACCGATCCATAGATCGCTAGAAGCAGCGGAGCCATGGTAGTTTGGAGATCGAGAAACCAGAGAGAAACTATGGGGTAGTTGCCATGAAGAGGAGCAGTTTAACTGTATTTCTAGGGGCTGTTTGGTATCGGATTTAAGCTCAGATTCACATGCAATTATAGTATATCCTATCAGGCCGTTTTCGAGCGCTCTATAACTTCCAGTCCTTTTTTTTTTGGGGAAAAATTTGGGGCTAGAAGCCCATCTCATTGCTATAACGGTTACAAGTAAGTAAGGTAATCAAAACTATAATCCAAAATCTCGTTTGAGATTTTGGATTCTAAAGAAGAGAAAATACAATTCTAAAGAGAAATGAAGCAAAAACAGTTGGGCAATGAGCCAAGGACTCAGAAAAATGCTCAATACTCAAAAGGGTCAAAATTACGTTTTGGTCTTGATATGAGCATAGCCCCTGGTTGCCCAGAGGACAGTCCAAGGGGCAGCTGAAACCAATTCAGCGTTCATCATCCTCCTGTCAAAAATTCCCTCAGCCTCAGCATAATGAACTGCACCTCCTGAACAATGAAAAACCACCATCCAGGCAACAGAAAGAAAGACAGCATTGAAACGTTCGGTGCCATAGAAACACCCCATAACCCAAATGCATATAGATTTACTGTTTCCATCTCAGATTTTTTAACATCACCGCGCTTTCTTGATTTTAGCAATAATAGTGTCTTTGCTGTCAATAATGCCACCAAATAATCTGTCGTTTCTTGCTCTCCAAATAAAATAAATCGAGGCAGCAGCCATAAGAAGATATTGGCTTTTAGTCTTAGCAATAAAACCTTGCTCACAAATGCTATCAAAAACCTGATGAAAATTTGGCCTCATAAAAAGATTATGCATCCAGGGGAAAAGAGCTCTAGCAATGTCAAAACTGTAGCTGCATTCATAGAATAAGTGAGTTATAGACTCCCTATCAATGTGACAAAAACAGCAGGTATTTGGAACTAAAATACCCCGAACAGCAAGGACACCCGCTGTTTTTAAGCCCCCATTAAACATCATCCAAGCATAAACCGTGAAACGGAGAGCATTGTGCTTATGCCAAATGTACTTATGTCAAGGAACCACATTCATATTTTCATAAAACTGAGAATTGAAGTCATTAAAAGTTGGATTTTGCTTGTTGTTCCAGAGGTGGTTCTCAGAATAAGAATCAATAGGAACAGAATGAATAACAGCAGCCATTTGGTTATCCAAACAATAAGGTAGGTTCCAATTATCAGCTAAAATGAGCTGGGAGACAGTACAGTCAAAGAGAGAGGAGAAACTGGAAGTGTTGTTCATGCTCATCAAATGGTCAGCCACGGAAATGCCCCTGCACCAAGGATCCCAAAGGAAAGACAGGTTGCTGGAAGCATTTACAGAGAGAGTAAGGCTGTTTTTGATCTCATTAGCTTTTACACATAAATATTCCCAATAATGAGAGTTGTTTTTGGTCTTTGGCTTCCAAAGTGATTGATAATTAGCTCTCCACCAGGAAAAGAGAAGAGAATCAGCATTTAAGAATCTCCAAATGATAGAACAAGCATAGCTATGCTTAAGAGAATTGATAGAAGGAATGCCCAGTCCCCCATATATTTTGGGACAGCAAGTTTTACTCCAGGACACAGTAACAAGTTTCCTCTCTTGTATATTCCCAAAAAAAATAAATCTAGAACATAGCCTAGAAATTTGCTTACAGCAACCTTTGGGTATGATAGAGCCACGAATCCAGTATGCCAAGGTGTTAGAGATAGTGAATTTAATAAACTGCACATGCCCAGCTAAAGATAGCATTTTTGCTTTCCAACCCTCTAACTGAGAAGTAATTCTTTGAATTAAAGGATTAAAGTCACTTAGTCTCAGTTTCCTATAGAATATAGGTAAACCCAGGTACTTAATGGGCGAAAAGGATTGCTGAATATTAAGGATATTACAGATATCATCAGCAGCCGAAGTGTTCTTAGAGAGCAAAATAGAGCTTTTAAGAGGGTTCACATGGAGACCTGTGACAGTATCAAATTCTTGCCGAATGGAGTTAATAGTGTGGGCATTTCTCACAGTGGCCTTGCAAAACACTAAAAGATCATCAGCAAACATAAGGTGTGAAACCTCACACCTACCAGCTTTGATAGCTTGGAGGGAGTTGCTAGCAGTAGCACAATCGAAAATAGAGGACAATCCATCCATGATGATAGCAAAGAGGTTGGGTGATAGGGGGCATCCTTGCCTGATACCCGAAGTAGAGTTAAAATAGCATTCAAGCACCCCATTAATGCAAATAGAGAAGTGTACATTGGAGGTGCAAGCTTTGATCCAAGAGATAAACAAGCTAGGAAAGCCTTTATCTTCTAATCTTTTGTAAAGAAAATCTCTAGACACCATGTCAAATGCTTTAGTAATGTCAAACTTGGCACATAAGTATTTGTGATTGGCTTTAAGGTTAAAACGACCAAGGATATCAGTAGCCAAAATGATATGATCAGAAATAATTCTCTTGTGTATGAAACCACCTTGGCTAGGGTGGATGATATGCGGCATCACCAACTTCATTCTATTTGCAATGATTTTTGCGATGATTTTGTAAATGACATTGCACAGGGCAATAGGTCTGTAGTCTTTGACATTGGTAGCATGAGTTTGCTTTGGGATGAGGGCAATAGCAGTTGCTTTAATCTGATTAGGCATGAAACCAGTAGTAAAGAAACAAGTGACAGCTCTGCAAAGTTGGTGCTGTAAGACATTCCAAGTGGATCTATAAAAGTCGAATGTGAAGCCGTCGGGGCCAGGGGCAGTGTTAGAATTGCCAGAAAAAATTATATTTTTAATCTCCTCCATAGTAACCGGAGCAATGAGTGAAGAAGTGAGATGAGTTGGGATCAGTCTCCCAGCAGGAATGTCAGATGCCATATGGTTGGAAGCTGGAGTATTGAAGAGATTCTTGTAGTGATTAATAAAAACGTTGGCAATGTCAGCATGCTTAGTATATGTGCCCTGGTCATTTGAGATAGCCTTGATCCTATTGTAGTTTTTGGTGATGTTGATTTTGGAATAAAGAAACTTCAAATCATCTTCACCGTGGGTAAGCCATTTAATCTTGGCTCTTTGGATAATCCATCTAGAGAGTGCATCTTGGTAAAAAGCAAGGTTTGAATTAATTTGGTTGAGCTTGCCATTCAAGATAGGATCAAGAGGGTTGCTTTGAATTTGAGACATAACAGAGTGTTGAAGATCTTTGAGATTATCAATGTCTCTTTGAATCTGGTTAGCATTGGTCCAGCTTTTGTGTTTCATAGCATTCTTCAGGGTTTTGAGCTTGAAGTTGAAGGAGCTTAGAGGACTACTCTCATTGGGAAGAGAGAAAACCTCCAAAAGGCAAGCCCAAAATTCAGGAAACTTGGTACAGTAGTTTTTGTATAAGAAGCGGTGGCCACGTTTGTTGTCAGAAGAGCAAGTTAAGATGAGAGGGGAGTGATCAGAGCAATCCGGGTCCGCAATTTTGTAGAAAGAGCTGGGAAAATAGTAGAGCCATTTGTCATTGACTAGAACACGGTCTAGTTTAATGTGAATTGGATTTTGAGGCTGCTGGTTATGCCAAGTGAAGTAGTGCCCAACAGAGGAAAGATCATAAATCCCTGCATTAAATACCATATTATTAAAATCTCCCATCTTAGAAACTGTCAAAGGTGTGCCCCAAATTTTTTCTTCCAGCTCACGGCAGCTATTAAAGTCCCCCAAAATAGCCCAAGGGGAATTGATAGAACCAGCCAACTTTTGGATATCATTCCAGAGAGATTGCCTCTCTGTATAAGATTTACTAGCATAAACAGCAGTGACAGTACAGGCTGCATTAGCATTAGTGGTGATAGTGCCATGGATGAGTTGATTAGTCACAAAAAGAGGGGTAAAGTTTAAAGCGCCCTTGTTCCACTTAACCCAGATACGACCCAGATTGGAAACCTGAAAATTGTCACAATTACCTTCTATAGGGAAAATTTGATGATTGGCCATGAACCAGTCATTATGGAGGTTATTAAGGGTTATTTTAGCTTCAAGGATAAAGAGGAGGTCAAGATTGTGGGATTGAACAAGATTTTTGCAGCTTTTGACTTTGACAGGGTTGTTAAACCCGCGTATATTCCATGCTGCAAAGTTGGGAAGGGTCATTGGACTTTGTTGTTGGGGGTAGAGGCTTTTTTTCCAGTCTTGACTCTAGTTTGTTTTTGATTTTGATTGCTTGCATGTTGGGCTTTTGGAGTATTGGATGTGGAGCTGCTTGTATCATTTGAAGTTGTAGGAATATTAGGTTGATGGTTGCGGGGGGATGTATGGGGTGGACTGTTGTGGTTGAGGATGAGATTAGCATTTTCAGTATTGGCTTTGGCCATGTTACTGAGGATTGGGGCTTGTATTGAACTTTG